TGGGGATATGTTATTTTGGTTTTTCATGTTATTATTTTTTTCTCTGTGATTTTGATATGTGAATTTGTTTTGTAGTTTCTGATTCTTGTGTGAGACTCAAGCCTTCAAGTTTAGGTTTGCTTCTTTTTGTGAACTTTATGTGTCTTTGTGGTTTACTTTTGGGCATGAAAGCTGGTTCCTCTAAGCTTCCGGTTCTCTCTTTTGATTTTATATTGGAGTGGCCAGATTGTTTTTATCTTCAGGAGTTCCCACAGAGGCCCAAGTCAGATGAGGATCAGATGCTCTCAGGCTTTCTCCTAAGGTCTGGATCCCTCCAGGAAAGATTTTGGCCTCAGGAATTTGGGGGTTGGACTGGCCTGGGAGCCGGACCCAGGAAAGATGCTGGTCTAGGGCTGCTGGTGGACATCCCACCCAGATTTGCAAAGGCAGATGGGGACTGAATCTGCCCCAAGGGCCCCTGGGGACTGCACTGAGGAGCTGGGTTGGTCTGAATGCAAAGGATCAGGAAGAGAAATGGTCAGCCCTGTCGTCCAGGAAAGAGGCGTGGTGCAAGTCCAGGGAAGCAGAAGAAGGTTAGGGCGGGGACAGGCCCAGAGTGCTCTTGCGACCCTAGAAGGCACTGAGTTGGTCTGGATGCAAAGGATCAGGAAGTAGTGGTGGTTCCCCAGGTGTCTGGGGCACCAAGACAAGGAATGGGACAGGACCCAGGTAGGAGGAGAGACCTGCGGGGTACATGGGAGGGTGAATGAGGCTGGAGGAGTCATGGTGCAGAGGGCGCGATGGACTTACCCAGAGAGAGAGGCTTGCGGGTCGGAGAGAGCAATTTCAATTATTTTTGTGGGTGTGCATGCTGTATGGGTACGCATGCCACTGCATGCACTGTGGAAGTCAGAAAACAACTTTGTGGAGTCTTTCCTTTGCTTCTACCTTTATGTGGGTTCCAGTGATGAACTCAGGTTGTTGGGCTTGCATGATAAGCACCTTTATACACTAATTATCTCTGTAATTTATAATTTCATTTCTTTAATCCTTGGGTTTGATCTCCAACACTGCATAAGCCAGATATGGTGGTGAACACCTGTAATACCAGCACTTGGGAGGTAGAGGTAAGAGGATCAAAAGTTCAAGACCAGCCTCAGTTACATAGCTAGTTTGAGGCCAGCCTGGGACTGCATGAGACCTTGTCTCAAAAAATGGAAGGGAGAGAGGAAGAGAGAAGAAAAAAATTCTTCAAAACTTTTTGAGGTTTGAGTTTTTTAAAAAAGAATTCTAATTTAATATATGTCTAAACCCAAGCTTCTTGTTTAGTGAACTTATTAATGGAACCCAGGGTATGGTACACACTACACAAACACTGAATTAAACACCTCATGTACAGGAGTAGGTTTAGAATCATAAATCTGGATGCAATCTCAGGATCCTCTCTGGCTTTTTGGCTTATTTTTTTTTAAGACAGTATCTCATGTAACCCAGGTTGACTTCAAAATTAATATGTAGCTGAGGGTGACCTTCAACTCCTGATTCTCCTGCTTCTACCTCCTAAGTGCTGGGATTACAGCCGTGAGTTCCCAGATTATGCAGAGTTGAGTATCAACCCCAGGGCTTCATGCATGCTAGGCAAGCACTCTACCAATTGAGCTCCATCCCCAGCCCAGAATCCTCTTTCCAGTGATTTCATTTTGAAGATGAGATAACTTAGGCCAAGAGAGAGAAAGCCTTGTCTGAGGGAATTAGCAGTGGGATGACCACAGGGATCATTCTGTGATATGGTCTCCTTGCTTTGCAGGCCCTCCTGTCAAGCAATAATCCCGGGTGTTAGGCAATCATCCAAAGAACTTGTTACTCAATATAGAGGCCTCTGCAAGCTTGTTTGTAATGCAGCATCTCAGGCCCCTCCCCAGGTGTCAATGTTTTAATAAGATCCCCAGGTGACTCATGTGTACATTAACTTCCAGAGGCAACAACTGGTCCTTCTTTTTCTTTGACCGGTCCTTTTTCTTCGCTTGATTCAGTCTCCTTGCAGGGTTCACCATTAGACAAACCTAATGGCAAAATGTTTTCACTTCTGTCTCTCTGTTGCCCAGTGATAGGAACTTGTCTGGGGCAGTCAAAGGCTTCCCGACTTTTCCTTTGTATCTGTCTGAATAATAAGGCTCCTACATTCATCTAGTACAGTTTCAGAGCAATAGTGATGCATGATAGAATAGGGGTTCATGAGAGGTATGAAAAACAGCTTTGGAGAAAGAAATGGCTTATTCTTTTAGTTTAGTTTGCTATTTTTTAAAAATGAAATTCTGGAGCTGGAAGCCAGGCTTCTGAGCATTCTAGGCAAGTGCTGCATCACTGAGCTCTAACAGAAGCCCTGACTTCTTATCAGTTTGCCTTTCTCTGCTTCACTCTCCATTCTAGCCATCCCCTGTCGTTTCAGTTTGTTTGTGGCAAATTAGTATGAATTATCCCACAAGTACTTGGAAAGAGTAAAAGATGGACTTTCTCTTTTCCCTGGGTGCTGGAGATGGAACCCAGGGTATGGTACACACTACAGAAACACTCTACCATCCAGCTACAAACCAGGCTCACTTCATTATACTTTTTGGAGACAGATTTGACTATGTTGCCCAGCTGGTCTCTAATCCTGAGCTCAAGTGATCTTCCTGGTTCAAGTTCCAGGTTGGCTGGGCTACATCATTGCTTTTTTATTAAGATAAAGGTGAGGGCTGGAGATGTAGTTCAACTGATAGAGTGATTACCCAGAATGCATTAAGCCCTAGGTTCCATTCTAGCATCTCAAAATCAGGAGATAGCCAAGGATGACCTTGAACCTCTCATCCTACTACATCCACCTCCCTAGTACTGGGATTGCAGGAGTATGCCATCACACCTAGTTTCTGTGGTGCTGGGGATGGAACCCTGGGACTTCATGCATGCTAGGCAAGCACTACCAGCTGAGTCACATCCCAGGATTTCCCCACCTTTTTAAAACTAGTCTGACTCTGTGACTTGTTTGAACCAGTAACAGGCAGCAGAAATGACACCGTGAGTTCCTGGTATTGCTCCCAGTTGGCCAGGGAATTTCAGTTTTCAGTCTTCCTCTCCACCCCACAGGCCCTGCTAGAGAGAGCTGCAGGTGGAACTCAGCTTTTGCTCCAGTGGCCTCACTGTTCTTGCAGCACCACTGTAGCAGAGGGGGTTGTTCTTCAGGGCCTGATCACTCTGTGCTGTGGTGTTATAGAGTGGGCAGTGCCAAACCCCTAGAAAGGGTGTCTTCCAGTTTCAGTGAGCTAGGTCCTCCCTCCATACACACCAAGTTTCTAGAAAGATCCTATGACCCCACACCCTTTCCTCTTCAATGTCACCTGTTTCTCCTCTTTCTCCCTTTAGTCTCACCGGCCTTTTCCTTGCTGTTCCTTCTGCTCTTCCACAATGTCCACAGGGCCACTTCCTCACCCACTTTAGGTCTGGACTCAAATACCACTGTCTTACAGAGACCTTCCTCCTTTCCAAGCTGCATGGCTGAAATTCCAGATTGCATTCCCCGTTCCTAGTCTCTGCTGTTAACTTGTTCTTTAGTATTTACCAATAGCTAACAAAGTATGTAGATCAAAGCCAAGATATTGTCCATGCTAGACAAGCACTCTACTAACTGAGCTATATCCCCCAGTCTCTATTTTTAAAAATATTTTTATTTTATGTGTATCAGTGTTTTGCATGCATGTATGTAAGTGCACCCATGTGGTACAATGCCTGAGGAGACTAGAAGAGGGCATCAGATCCCCCTGAAACTAGAGTTATGGATGGTTCTTTTTTTTTTTTTTTTTTTTTTTTGGAAAAGGGTCTCCCTGTAGCCCCAGCTGTCCTGGAACTCACTATGTAGACCAGGCTGGCCTTGAACTCACAGAGATCCGCCTGCCTCTGCCTCCCAAGTGCTGGGATTAAAGGCATGTGCCCCCACACCCAGCTAAGGATGGTTCTTAGCTACCATGGTGTTTTGATGTATTGCTTGCATATATGTAAGTGCACCATGTGCATGCAATGCCCTTGGAGGCCAGAGGGAGTGTCAGATCCCCTGGAACCAGAGTTACAGATGATTGTTAGCTGCCATGTGGGTTCTGGGAACCAAACTCAGGTCCTCTGCAAGAGCCAGTGCTGAGTCACTGAGCCATCTCTCCAGTCCCTCCAACCCCCTTTTTTTTCCTTTGAGATTGTGTTAGCCAGGTTGACCTCAAATTCCTGGGCTCAAGTGATCCTCCTGCCTCACCGTGACAGTAGCTGGGACTGCAGGTACCTTTCTCCACAAAAAGGTTGACTATGAAATAAACTTGTTTGTTTGTTTATGTATGATAGGACCTCACAATATACCAGAAGCAGGCCCTGAACTCAACACTCTGCTTCCCAAGGGGGCTACAGGATTGAGCCACTGTGGCTGGTTCCCTTGAGGGTTGTCTGTCTTGTTTATCTGTTCTGTCTACAAGTGACTACAGCACAGTAGGTATTTTGATAAATTATCTGAAGAATGAATGGATGGAATGTTGCCTTGCCACTCAGGACCTCCCAGACCACAGTATGTTAAATGGCAATGTTATTTTCCTTTCCCAGATTTATTTTTCTCCAGGACACTTATTACCACTTGACAGGTATTTGTTTACTGTCACTCACAGAGTGAAAGATCTTTTAACCGTAGAGGCCTAAATATATTTTAACTCTAGGATTTGGGAATAGGGGAGAGAGGAAGCAGATTTAAATCAGTATTTACAGAACGAACTAATCAACAAATGAGGGCTGCCAAGGTGGCTCAGTGGGTAAGGGCCCCTGCCGGCAAAGCCAGACAACCTGAGTTCAAATCCCCAAGACCCTTGTGGTGGAAGAAGAGAATCAGCTTCTGCAAGTTGTCCTCTGACTTCCACACATGCACTGTGGCATGCACACGCACACAGACACGGACACGCACAAATAAATGTAATAACATTTTAAATGAACAAATGAGGGCATCAATGTAGCAAGCCAGGTTTCCAGACTCCTAACGGTGTCCACGAGATAGCACTTATCTGAGGGTGCACACAGCACCTCTTAAGGTGCCTCTTAACACTGACTGCTTGTGCCTGATCGGTCCCCACCTGGCATCGCCGGCTTAAGGTCAGTCTCCCGGGAGGCTGATTTCCCGGGCGGCGGTGCCCCTTTAAGAGCGCAGCGTCCCGCCCCCTAGGGGGCGGGATCTGGAGGGACTTTAAGGGGCGTGCCCGCGGGCGGCCGGGGTCCTCCCGGGATTAGCGCGGGGTGGGCGCGCGGCGCCGCCATTTCTTGGCGTCTCTGAGGACCTGTCCTGTCTTCCCGTCGCTGGGCGTCTACCGTCAGGTCGTGGGCACTCGTCGCTGCCGTCTGGTCGCCGTGCGGTCTTCTTCCCCAGTGCAGGTAAGAGCATGACCCAGGGTGTCCGGTTCACTTGCTCTCGGAGCGCGCACTCTCCGGGCCGGTCCACCCGACCAGCAGCGGGCTGGCGGCCGGGAGGGGAGGGGCGGGGCGGTGTCGGCCAATGGGGCCTAGTTTCGGGCGATACTGCGCCGCCGCTGCCAGGGCCCGGCCGGCAGCCGGGGTCCCGCGCGGCGGGGGAAGGGCTCTGCTCCCCCTGGACCTCCGTGCAGCCCCGCGGTCAGGGGAAGGCGCTCGAGTGTGCGCTCGTCGCGGTGGTGGGCAGACACCGAGTGGACGCTGCAGGCTCGCTGGTAATCAGCAAACTTTGGGAACCGTGCGAGGCAGGTGCGTCCCGGGAACTGCCAGCGCCCTGGGCGCTCCCCGCACCCACGCGTGGCGCGCGTCCTGATGGGCTCTTCGTGGGTGAAGGCAATTGGGTCTGACCGTCTTTATGGTTACTGTAGTCTCTGAGTTCTGCTTAAGAGCGAGAAGACTCGACTCTTCTAAGTGGTTTGGCAATAAAGTAACTATCTGTGTTTTCCCTTAAGAATTAGAGGAGGACCTCTCAATACATTTTGAACATAATGCACAACTCCGCTAACTTCAGTTGTAAGGTACAACCTGTTACCAAGCCTGCCGTAGTGGGTTACCTTGTATATGATCATTTCAAGACCACGCTTTCTTTTTTTCTTATTCCTTTTTTTCCTTTCCATTCTTTCTTTTTTTTTCTTTTTTCTTTTTCTCTTTCGTTGTTTTCTTCTTTTGATATTGGGTATCAAACCCTAAGGCCTTAGACTTGCCAAGCAAGAGCTCCACCATGGCGGTAAAACCTCAACCGTGTTTTTGTTTTGTTTTATTTTTTTGTGGGATAATTTGATTGGAAGGCAGTATGCATGCTTATCCTGCTGTTGAGTTACTCTGTTAAATTTTCTTTTGGGAATATAACTGGGATGAAATACTGATGTTTATGACTTTTTGTATATTGGCAATGTTTCTGTATAAAGAAGTCAATGATGGGGGGGGTCATACCTCGGTGGTAAAGCACTTGCCAGTATGTTTGATATCTTGGATTCAATCCCCAACACCACAAAAACAGGGAAACAACACAAGGAGTAAGGGATGCAATTGACCTCCAGTAATGTATAAATACACATTTTTCGTGAAAAATGTAGGAGTTTGGTGCTTTGTTGTTGTTTTAAGCAGCTACTGTTTAAGTAGGAAATGAATTACTTCAGTTTGCATTTCTGTGATTAAGAGAAATTCTTAGTCATTGTGGAAAAGTGGTAAATCTTTTCACATTAGAAACTGCATAACTCCCATCCCCATCTTTTTGCGATTTTGTTTTCAGAGTCAGGGTCTCCCTGTGTAACACAAGTCGGCCTGGAATTTGCTGTGTATATATAAGCCCAAGTTGGCCTTGAACTCAAAATTCTCCTGCTCCAACTTCCCAGGTGCTGGGATTATTTTATGAGTCTCTCTTATCCTCTTTTAGGGCTTGCCTCGTTATATAGTGTCATTTTCCTTAGCTTTTAGTGTATTACAGAAGTTCGTCACTGATTGGCAGGTTGGCATGATAGCGCTTAAATCATCCATTATAGTGAACAAGTCAGACCAGGTCCTTGTGTTTTTTTTTCGGGGGCAGGGACTAGCCAGTAAAAAACAATAAGCAATTAAATCTTTAATAACAGTTTTTTCCCATGTTATAAAGAAAAGCCCAAGTTAGTAACAGAGGCATCTAATGTAGCTTCAGGAGGCTGGTAGTGTTTCTCTGAGGAAAAGACATTTCAGGTGTAAATATTACATTAACCATCTGAAGAGGGAGAAGATGAGGAGAGAGTAGACAGAAGATTATCCTAGAAAGATGAAACCACTAATGAAGAAAAGTCTGGAAATAGGAAGACCTGCTGAGCAAAGTACCAGCGCAGAGACAGCAAGCAGCTAGCATGGACAGCTCACAGGGCTGGGAAGGAGCCAGGGCCAGTAAAGATTTAAAACAGCAATCAGATTTGTGGTGCTGATAATCCCTGGCTGCACATGAACAGGATTGAGGGCAGGTGGGATGAGGAAAGTCAGTGTGAGGACACTTTTTTTTTTTTTGCCTAACCCTTGAAAATTTTTTTAATCTTTAATAACATAAGCAACGCATACTTTTTGTGTTTTGTTTTGTTGTTTAGTTTTTTGAGACAGGGTTTCCTTGTAGCATCAACTGCTCTGGAACTCACTGTGTAGGCCAAACTGGCCTTGATCTCACAGATACCTGCCTGCCTCTGCCTCCCAAGTGCTGGGATGAAAGGCTTGTGCCATCATGCCAGACTTGCAAAACATTCTTATGACCTCTGGGCTAACTCTCCAGAGAGTAAGTTTCTTAAATCATTTACATTTTGTAGTCTTTGTGTGCGTGCACATGTATGTGTGTGCATTTGCATTGTATCTCAAAGTGGGAGGATACTGTATTCATTTTCCTGTGATTTGATTTTTCACTTATAAGTTTTATCTAAGCCAGCTGTTTAAACAACTGTATTCTATGCCATTTAACGTGCTTAACTCCTTGCATGGTGACGAACACATTTATGAATTTAAGTCATTGAGGCCCAGAAAAATACTTGTTCCTGCAACCTGGAGCACATATGTGACTTTCTTTAGGCCATCCTGCTAGAAATAGAATCACTATGTACATAGAAGCATGTAATTTAATAGCTTGTTCAATAAGACAGTGTGTGAAAGTGGTTGTTTGTCTCTTACTTTCTCTCTCCTCTTCCTCCCATATAGAGATGCAACAGAGGGCCTGACCCGTGATAGTCTTTAAAAAACATTTTTTTATATTTATTTTTTTTTATTTATTTATTTATTTATTTATTTATTTATTTATTTGTGAGTATATGTTTGTGGCATGCATGGAGAGGTCAGGGAAAAAGCCATAAGAGCCAGTTCCCTCCTGCTACTGGGTCCTGGCTTATTAGGCTTGGTGGCAAGGGCCTTTGCCCTAACACTGAGCTATTTTGCTGACTGGTGATAGTCTCTTGCATCCTTTTTAACTGACTTGAGTCCTGTGGAGGTGAGGATTAGCAGGAACCTCTGATGTTCTCGAAGGTCTGGCCTCAAGCCATTTTCCTGCCTCAGCCACTCCAGCATTGAAACTACAGGCATAGTCCAGTTTTCTGGGCTATATGTTTTTGCAGTGTTAGAGATCGAATCTAAACCTTAGTGTATACAGTTGTATCTTTTTGCTTTTTTGTTGTTGGGTTCTTCTTTTGTTTTTTGTTTGTTTGGTCTTTTGGAGACAGTGTCTCCCTGTAGCCCCAGCTGGCCTGGATCTGAATATGTATACCATACTGACCTTGAACTCAGAGTCCTGCCTGCCTCTGCCTCCCGAGTGGTAGGATTAAAGGCATTCACCACCACCCCGGCCCTGTTTTTAGTTTGGTTTTTTTTTTCATTAGAGGGGGTCTCATATCATAGGTTGGCCCAGAACTTGCTATGTGGCCAAGGATGACATTGAACTCCCAAACTTCCTGCCTCTACCTCTGTGGAGCTGGGATAAGAGGGTGTGCTGCCACACCTGGCTTCTTTCTTTTTTTTTGGTCTTTTTGAGACAGGGTCTCCCTGTAGCCCCAGCTGTCCTGGAGCTCACTATGTAGACTAGGCTGGCCTTGAATTCACAGAGATCCACCTGCCTCTGCCTCCCAAGTGCTGGGATTAAAGGCATGAGCCACCACACCCGGCCTTCTGTCTTATTTTTTAATTTATATTTTCTTGATTGCTGTTGGACATTTTAAAAATGAGCACCTTTTGTTTTCTTTTTTATTGTGTATCTGATGTGTATATGGGCACTTTTGCATGTCACAGCATGCATGTATCAGAGAACAACTTTAAGAAGTTGGTTCTCTCCTTCCACCTTCATGTGGTGCTAGAGATTGAACTCAAGTAGTCAGGCTTGCCAAGCAAGTAGTGTATCCACTGAGCTATCTCACAGGTCCAAAATTTTTGTTTTTGAGACAGAATCTCCCTATGTAGCCTAATCTGGCCTGGAATTTGTTATATATTTAGTCCAGGTTAGCCTCAGACTCAAAATTCTCCTGCCTCAGCCTTCCTGATGCTGGGATTTTATGAGGCTTCATTTTATTCACTTTCAGGATTTGCTTTTTCATGTCACCTGTTTTCTTTATCTAGTTACTGGGTATCTAATCCAGGGCCTTGTGTATGTTAGGTATTCATTCTGTCACTAAGCTACATTTCAGTGCATATGGAGATGATTTGTAATAGTTGGTTATTAAATAAATGACACATTCTTCAAAAATATTTTTCAGAAATTGTTTAAAAGTCCTTTAGCTTACTATTCTATTTGTTTCTTCCTTTTACTTTCTCATGGTTTTAATTTTTTTGCTTTAAATCTTTAGACCACCTATAATTTAATTTGTGTATTACTTTAATATTTCTGTAAAAAGAACTTTATTCTTCATGATATTGAGTTTTACTGTTCAAAATAAGTTATTAAAATTCTTAATATAAAAGATGTTTTTCTTTTTTAAAAAGATTTATATTTTATTCTTAATTATGCATGTGGGTGCACATGTGTGGGTCAGAGGCATTGGATACCCCTGGAACTGGAAGTACAGGTGTTGAACCTTTGTGGGTCCTAGGAACTGAACTCAGGTCCTCTGGAAGAGCAGCATGTACTCTTAACTGCCGAGCCATCTCTCCAGCCCTAAAATGGTTTTCTTTAATAATTAACTTACATAGTGAGTTTTTTTCAAAATGTCAGGATATGGTGAAAGTCAGAAAAATTTCTTATAGTTTTTGGGACTTTCTTTGTTTTGCTTTTTTGAGACAAGGTCTCCCTGTAGCTCCAGCTGACCTGGAACTCATTGTGTAGACCAGGCTGACTTTGATCTCAAAGAGATCCGCCTGCTTCTGCCTCCTGAGTGCTAGGATCAAAGGTATGTGCCACCATGCCCAGCCCTGTAGCCTTGTAGCCCCAGCTGTCCTGGAACTCACTATGTAGAGCAGGCTGGCCTCGAACTCACAAAGATCCGCCTGCCTCTGCCTCCCAAGTGCTGGGATTAAAGGCGTGCACCACCATGCCTGGCCTATTTGAATATTTTTAAAAGACCTTTATTACAGAAAAATTCAGCTTATATGAAAATAGAAGAGTAAGAATTATGCCCTCAAATTGCTTATAATAAAGAGTAAATGAATAATTGTGATCTGATTATAATAAAAGGTTTAGTGGAAGTGTGATTATAATAACTAACTTGGATATCAGAACGTTTTTCTAGAGGTATTGTGGAGTTGAGTTAAAAGGACTAAGTAGGGGGGCTGGAAAGATGGCTCAGCAGTTAAGAACACTGACTGTTCTTGCAGAAGACTGGGGTTC